CTCTCTCCTCTCAAGTTCATTCATTTCTTTTTGCAATTGGACGGCATTGTACTTTCTGATGTTTGTATACTTCGAAATTGGCCAGGATCGTAACATTGGTATCAGAGCGGATTCTACTTGCTGGCGAGAGTTAACTTTGCCGCCATAAACCTAACCCTAGTGGTTAGGGCTAACCACTTAGGGTTAGGGCGGAAGTTAGGGTTAAGTGGGGCAGCGTGGTAAAGGGAAGCTGCTCCCACCTGGCAGGGCCGTGTAGGGTCGACACTAGACCCGGCCAGGTAGCTTGAGTGCATGTTTGTGGTGGCGAGACACAAGGTGGGACTTCGTGATGCAATTTGAGAGAGGCGACAGTGAAGGGCCCCTACAACTGGAATCTGAACTTCAAGGAAGATGAGGAGTGACTTTAGGGCTCCCCTCAAGTGAGGCGAGCTTGAGGGTGGCAGCCATATCTGCACCTACGGACTGCAAGTTGCTACTTTGATCTTCAACATCGGCGGGGGATCCGGCTTTGTACTTTGGGGTAGATGTTGACCCTCCTAGACGATAGGACACTAGTGTAGAGGATGCTAATTGGGTCAGGAGGACTATGTGAGAGGGGGGTGAGTTTTTTTCATCTCAAGAGCCCGGCCACTCAGGTAAGTGCCATGCCGCCAGGGTGCCCATGTGTGTGTGCATGGAATTGACTGCCTGTTGGGGTATTCTGAGTTCTTCTTCCATCCTCCATAGTCTTGATCTTGCATGAAGTGTGTGAACTGCTTACTCGCCTGATGAGTGTATGGATGAAGTATCTTGTGTGCAATGATGCTATATCTTTCTACAGTGCTTTATCTATTTCATTCTGAACGGTTGTAGTTTGTAGGTTCTTTCTGAGGCAAAATTTCGTTTTTCAATTCGGTAGGGACAAAGTAGGTCTTTGTGGAACTCATGTTGGTTGGGACTCGGTTCTGATTCCACTGGGACCATTTGGGACTCAGTGGGACCAGGCCCAAACAAGAAGGGCCCCTCAGGCCAAATCTGTTGACGTCAGTTACGTTGCTCTATCTGATTGGGACTCGGACTTTATGCTTTCGTACCAGGACACTCGCTGCGGAGGGGATCTCCGCTGAGACGTTTTATCGGACTTTACTGCACGATCCACCGCCTGACTCGCACCTCGGGCACCACTCAATTCTCTCTTGCATTACGTAGTACACTTTGAATCTGATTTGCTGTGTCTTCACCGAGCTGAGTCCGGCTAGGCTTGAGAGGACCTCATACGTAGTCAGTCCAGACTGTGTGGCTGGATCAGATCTCTTTGATCTTTTATTTTTTGTTTTGACTGCTCTCCAGTCCAAATGAATTGCTGCTCCGGCTAGGAGTTCTACCTTCTCTTTTGATTGTTTTCAAGCTGTTTCTTTCATTTGGTTCGATAAATGCCTGCGTCTACAAACGAGAGAGAGAAGAGAGAAGTTTTTGAGTGTTGCTCTTGAGGGAGTGAGGAGAGGGAAGACGAGTGTTCGTCCCAGAAAAGTGAGGAAGTACGGACCTCTCTTGAGACACTTATTGATTCCTTCGTCCTCCATCATGGCATCTGCAGCAGATTGGAAGCTGCAAATGGACGCTGCCCCTAAGGAAAAAAAAGCGCAGTACCTGTTCTTTTATGAAAAAGAATTGAAGAGGGAGGAGGAAGAGAAGGAGAAGGAGAAGGAGAAGGAGAGGGAGGATAAGGTAAAGGCTCATGAAACCATTTTCTGTACCGTGCCTGCCCTAACTGATGAGGAGGTGGAAGAGAAAACCGTTCCACTCCTCCGGGCTTTGGTAGACGTCCGGGCTGTTGAGGACCATACTGGCCAACTCGCCAGTGTTCGATGAACTTAAGAAGCTGCCGAGGACATGGCCCTAATGGCGCAGCAACACCGTGACCAGCTGCAACAGTTCGCTAACGTGCAGCCAGCCCA